TAACAGGTCACATGTCATGTAGGAGGCCATGACGACAGCAAACTATCCCACGACCATTGATGAATCGTCCTGAGTTGTTGATGATGGCACTCCATCACCATTTACCATGAGATTAGAATTGCCGAATACCTGGAAGTGAGTCACAGTTTAGGAAACGCGTGAAATCTCACAAAGGAAGAGATTACCAGTTGTTTAAGATCCGTGAATGCGCAATGTGGAACCATCGCACTGGTGAGCTCTGTCTGCATTTTGATCCATAGCTGGATATAGCGAGACAGTTGGGACATAGAACTTCTACCACCGAATTCTAAAGAGAGAGCAGTTCAGAATTGTTCGAAGGAGATCACGAAAATTAATGAAATTTTGAATGAAAAATAGTAGAAACCTAGTATAGCTGCCGCAGTCTGTTTAGCCAAATCTTTCAGGTGTTCCTCACTCATGAGAGGATGGGTTTCAAATTGAGAATATTCCAAGATACATATTGTTGCTAACGTGTCCTGAACATTGAGGTAAACTTATTTATTTAATAGTTTGGCACTAGTCCGCTTGGGGAGCGGGGGAGGGAGCGTTGAGATCTAAGCTCTTGGCAACATACTCAGCAATGTTAGGTTCTCTACCTTTCGTAAAACTACCGAATGGCGCCAGTTCCACTGGTACACGGTATAACTTTTATACGATAACGATGACATTCAATGCTGGGAGGTGAAAAAAAAACAATCGTTAGCTGAGGAAGAGGATTTTTCTCCAGTCAAGATGAAAGGAGCTCCAGGGTGGCTAGACCACTTTTTTCTGTGTATCGATATATATTCGAAACCTGGTTTGTACCACTTTTTCTGAGAAAAAATTCTCCAATAGAAAAAAGTTCGTTTTTGCGGGTTAAAAAACTCAGGAATTTAGGATACGCTGCATTCATACTTCGCGATTTGGATCAGTCGCGCGTTGTGGAAATTGGACGGTTGCAACCGACCACGCTTTGCTTTGCTGAGGGTCGAACGATTCATACTGAACGGGATAGGACTGATGGTTGTAGCGGTCAAACCATTAACGTCACGATGCAGTCCGTCACTCGCTTAGTCGCGAAGTATGAATGTGATCGTGTGTTTGGCTGCTTCGGTGAGTTCTATTAGGTTGGCGGGAAAGTTCTGTCACACTTTTTCGAACTCAAAATACTTGCCCATTACCTGGAAGAGGGGTAACCGGTAATGTGAGCACTTATACATCAAGGAGTGGTCTTTCTATTAGTACCACTCGCTTGACTCCTGCTTCTTCTTCTTCTTCTGCAATATGGACAAGAATGTTATCCGCTACCATCGGCACCGACCCCTCCAGACGCTTCCTCAACTCTTTCTTCCACCACCCTGACGCCAGCATGATAGCTGCAGATGCCAAAATAATGGAGCTGAATAAGGACGATGCCCTCAATTATCGGACAACCTTCCACGACGCTAATGCTTCAAAGCGGGAGCCTACAGTTTTGATGACGAAGTGAGGTTTGGGTTACCTGTGAACTCAGATTGAGGGAGCTGCGGGTCGTGAAAGTGCTGGATGAAGAAGCTGCTTCCTCGGTCAATGCGTACGCAAAGCAGCTACGAGATCTAAAGCGTACCGTCGATCAGAGGGAAAAATTGTCCGCACAGCCCGCCTCATCATGACAGTGCAGCCTACTCCATTCAAAAAAGTTCGAGCCGTACCTCATGCAATAGAGCTGGATGGCTCCCCTTGCACTGGTGTAGCACAGACATTGCTCCTTCTAACTGCAAGTCGCCTCCCGTACTCAAACGAGAAAACCTCCATAACCCGAGTTCAAGTCAAGATTGAGATGGTGTCCAACTTTGCGTCGTGCCTCCCTGCATTGTGAAGCGATGGCATCCATGAGGTGCTCAAAAACTGGCAAGAACCCCGCAGTAACATTGCTGTACAATTTTGATCTTACACGCCTCTCTATAAAAAGAAAGCCTAATTTGAAAAATGTGACAGAACTTTCTCCGCCAACCTAACAGTATACAGATCTAGATCAGTGTTAGATACTGGGTAATGATGATAAAAGAGTTTACAGGACTCATAAGACGTCCCGGCTCTAGAAATTCACCAACTGCCCGCCTCCGCTTCCCCGCGGACTCAAGCCGACACTTTCATTGACGTCAAAAAGTTAAACAGGAACAGTGACAAGTAAATGTTCATAATCACCAACGTTCAAAAGTGCCTTCATTTGTCCACTCATATTCGGAATCTCTTGTGATAGGGCAAAAAGCGATCGTCCGAATTCGATAATCCCATTGAATCTTTGATACCTAGAAGAACACAAACACTGAGAAATAAAATGAAGGAAGCCGAATAGAAAGAGAAACACTCACTCCTGCATGATCCTAGCTTCTTCTTCAGCACGCTTCTCAGGGTTGTCCATTTCAATATCTAGAAATTACGAAATTCATTTTTTCTTCGCATTTATCTATTTGCCGGTACTGTCGCTCCGATTCTGACCTTCGTCATCCTCCGTGAATTCCTCTTCGACTATAGTAGTGCTTACATCTCCAGTCATGATTACACCATCATCGATAGAACCTCCGTCGGCAGTTTCAGGGCCAGCTCCATTCTTTATGTCCGCCACAGCTTGACCGTTACGTTCGGGTAGAGTTGCTTTAGATGAACAACACGGTTCGTCTTCGTCCACTTGCATGTCAGCATGACTGAAAAATATGCCTGTAAAAAGCATTTCCTGGAAGAAATAGCTCATTTAAGGTGAGCAAAAACGTTGAGATGAATCGCCAGGGTCATGATTGAGTCAATTATCGTCATTGCTTCATGTACTATTAGGTTGTTCGAAAAGTCCTGCGACACTTTGACCAAATTTTTCGAACTAAATTTCCGGTCAGTAAAGGACATCTCCAATCTACAAGGTAACCGCAGTTGATGACTAGGACTAGTGGGAGGAGCGGAGGGAGGAGGAGCGAGGAGGAGGGGAGTACCGCGAGGAGGAGAGGGAGCGGGAGGAGGAGGAGGAGAGGAGGAGGAGGAGGAGAGAGGAGGGGAGGAGAGCACGGAGGAGAGAGGAGGGAGGGAGGAAGGAGGAGAGGAGCAGAGGAGGAGGAGAAGGAGAGAGAGAGAGGAGAGGAGCAGAGAGTAGAGAAGTAGTAAGAAGCAGCAGCAGAAGAAGAAGAAGAAGAAGAAGAAGAAGAAGAAGAAGAAGAAGAAGAAGAAGAAGAAGAAGAAGAAGAAGAAGAAGAAGAAGAAGAAGAAGAAGAAGAAGAAGAAAAAAGAAAAAGAAAAAGAAGAGCAGAAATGAGAAGAAGAAGAAGATAGAGAAGAAAAGAAAAGAGAAGAAGAAAGAAAGAAGAAGAGAAGAAGAAGAAGAAGAAGAAGAAGAAGAAGAAGAAGAAGAAGAAGAAGAAGAAGAAGAAGAAGAAGAAGAAGAAGAAGAAGAAGAAGAAGAAGAAGAAGAAGAATTGAAGAAGGAAGCAGATAAGAAGAAGAGAAGGAAGAGAAGAAGATGGTGGCATGGTAGGGTAGTTAATTGAACGCACACAGATACGAAAGGCTAATAAGCGTTGAACGGGGCCCAAGAGGGCCGTCAATAACTGTAATAAGAAATCAATAACTGAAACATTCAAATACGACCGTCCTCTCAAGCGTGGCCTGCAAACACGTGACGTGTTTACCAGACCAATACTGGACTAGCGTCAAATCTAAACTTCTAGAACAACTCTTCGAGCTATATATCAGAGAATCGTTCCCTTCTTTGTAGCATTTGAAAGAAAATCGATCTTTGAAATCAAGCAAAGACAATTTTGCCTCACACGGGATGAGACAAATTGCCCTTGAATTTCCCAGCACTTTGAACCTTGAAAAAACATTTCAAGTGTTAGCTTACACGTCAACATCTGCTGCGCCAGAAGGTGGTGTTCGTCTGGCTGGTGGTGCTTCAATATCCTCCGAGTGAGAATCTACTGAACAAATATTGTTAATGAATTTTATGACCGACAGTAGGCAGTCAGTCATGTTCCCTGCCTATCAGTGTGACATAACACTCACCATACTTACCATAAGATCGCTTATGAGGATTCGAAGGATATGAATGGGTTGCTGAAAAAATAAAGATATCAATCATTTCCTGAAGCCTATCGCTGAGCACTCACTTCTCGGCGTGACCGCGGATGATGACGGCATTGACTGACCATTTGAACTCGATATCGGCGCAGGTTTCGATAAAGCATCCTGTCACGAGAAGTGACAACATCAGAGGGCTGCAGTGAAATATTCGAAAACATACCACTCGCGCGATTTCTGCAGCCATTTCGACAAATTGTTGGCACTTCAGTACAAGAGCTATATTTTTATTGAGAACGAAAATATCAGGATAAGCATCTTCCATACGAGCGATCGCCTCTGCACTGCGTCGCGACAACACCAGCGCAAGGATTTCTATAACAAAAAAAATCACTTCGACAACAACCCCACTTCTCACTCCATGAATCCTCGACATTATTGTAAACTTTCCACTTCTTTCGACTCATTTTGCCAATGTAATTGTTGGTGGAACTCTCTATTGATTTTTGCCTGATGTTTTGACTAAATCGCCGTGGGTATGGAGTGTAGCTAAGAATATCCACAGCCGCAGGAACGTACCACTTTCGAAATTTGAAAAATTGTGACAACAAAGTCAA